ATAGTTTAACTGAAAGGCTGTTTAATATTTTAATTATTTTTTAATGTTTTTCTTGTTAACTCGGTATACCCCTCACCATGCAGTAACATACAAGGTTGAATAGGATGCGCCTGATGCAGACTCCTATGTAGAGGTTGGAGAAGGTTTCTTTTTTGGACTACAGCTGCCAGAATCTCCCAGCCATTGTAGGAATTGTCATCCAGCAAAGAAACTTTCCCCAAGCTCTGCTTTTGCATCAGCACCATCCTCCTGTGAATTCAGTGGCCTTGTATTTTATGTTTATGCCTTACAGCTTGAGTGAACATCCTATTTTGAACTCTGAATAGCTCCACACAGTCAACTCCTGGCTTCCCAAAGTTGCTGAAAAATTATCTAGTCTTTTCTTTGCACTCCATCCCCACAACGCTAGCTTGCCTCCTTTGTACCACGTTCTGGCCTGGCAGTGCTTCCTCTCTCTTCCTTTCTTTAACACTCGCCTATTCTTTTGCCTTGCAAGACACATGAATCCAGTGCAAGCCTCAGCAAGGGAGGTGCTGACCAGTGAAAGCTTTGCTCATTTCCTTTCTCTCTGGGCACAAAAACCCCGGTGCTTGCTTGGCTCCGCTGTTCATTTGAAACCAACCACTGGCGCCAAGGCGACCAGATGAGACTGACATCTGTCTCTTCATTTCTTGCCAAGCCACTGCTGTTCCACGGCTGGCAGGGAGGAGAGGCCTGGCAAATGCCAAGTTCTTTTGGAAAGTCATCCTACATTCCTCACACTCCTCTTCCTCACCCCCCACCCCCAAACATCTTGCCTGCTTCTCTTCTCAGATACATCAAGAGCATGACAGGCTCCTACCTGGAAAGAAATAAGGAAGAATGTCTCAGTCTTGTCATGTGCTTTCAAGTTGACTCTAACTTATAGCAATCCCATCATAGGGTTTCCTTGACCATAATTGTATGGATTTGGTTTTCCATTGCCTCCCTCTTGGGCTGAGAGAGTGTGACTTGTTCAAAAGGTCACCAAGTGGGTTTCTCAAGAAGGGATGCAAACTCTTATCTTGTGGCCTAACCCTCAACCACATTGGCGATGAGGAAAAATGACTGAAATGAGTTGGGGAATGGATAAAGTGCTTTACTCACTTAGGCAATTCCTTGTTGTCCAAGTATGATGGCCTTCCAAGTGTAGGGTCTTGGTGGTGGGTCTGCAAGTGACTGTAGAGCCCTCTTCTTGATCCACATCTTCTGCAGTGAGGACATCGGTTTCCAGGTGGAAGGCAGTTCCCATCAGAGTTGGCTTGCAAAGTGATGAGGACAGAGACCAAACAATTGCAATATTTAGCCTGGTGGGTTGACAAAGGAGATCTAAGAAGTTCTTAAGTGGAGCAGAGGATTTCAAACTGTATATCACAACATGTTAGTGTGCTGGAAGTGTGTAGGTGTGTCACATGGACTTAATGAGAAACTTCTGAGTCTATGTGAAATATGGAATCATGTATTGTTTAAAATGTAAATGGAATGGGTTGTAGGGTTTTCGGGCTATATGACCATGTTCTAGAAGCATTATCTCCTGACATTTCGTGGGCATACTGGTTAACATCTGCTTGCTCACTTGAGGCATCAGGAAAAGAAAATGGAAAGCATTCAATGTGTCCCAATCCACTTTTTTGGAGACATAAGCCAGTGCAATTCTAGGCTGTATCACCAGGAGTGTAGTGTCTAAACCAGTGGTTCTCAACCTTTGGTCCTCCAGGTGTTTTGGACTTCAGGTGTTTTGGATAAACTGGCTTGGATTTCTGGGAGGTGAAGTCCAAAACACTTGGAGGAGCACAGTTTGAGAAACACTAGACTGAGGGAAATACTATTACCACTCATTTTTGCTCTTGTGAGGAGTGGCTTAGAGAGCTGGATATGTTTAGCTTGGAGAGGAGACATTAAGAGGGTACATGATAGCCATGTTTAACTCTCTGAAAGAATACCACATAGAGGTTTCTTGACTGTAAGAGCTGTTCAACAGTGAGATACGTGGCTGTTTGGGAGCCCAGTGAACTCTTCTTCTCTGGAGATGTTTGGGTCAGGCCATGGGTCAGGAAGGCTTTGATGATATATTATTGGATCACAGAATAGGGTTGGAGTGGCTGGCCCTTGTGGTCTCTTCCGATTCTATTATTGACGTGGTGAGCAAGCCACAGCCTAGCTTCCTAACTTATTTTACTAAGACATTTGCCTTCCTATAGGTCAGATTGGCCAGTCTGGGCAGCCAGAAGTTTCTGTGTCCAGCATGGCCAGTAGACTTAAGGGCAGAAGATGGCCAAAGCTCACCTCTTGAGTGAATGAATATTTAGCTCCCTTGGTGCTGGAAAGTTGAATTTCTGCTCAAGAGCACTGTAATATTTCTGATACCAGAGGAGAAAACCCCAATGCTTAAGATGCACTTTTGATGCCCTCTTCTACTTCAAGGTCTGACAGGGCTGTCCTGAGCCACAGATTGTTTTATGTGTGTTAGCAGATGCTTTGCCAGCTGACCAGTGCCAGGAGATCAGCATCTAGGCTGCCTTCCCTGATTCATTATGTGCCAGCAGTATATCTGAAGTTGGTAGCCGAGCTGGCAACCAACATGGGGGGAGGCTATAAGGAGACCGACCAGGACTGAAGTCCTTCTTTTTATCCTCTGTAGAAGAACAGAAGTGAACGACAAGTCTCTGCCCTCCCAATTGCTTTGCTTTTCCCTGTTTCCGGATCACAGGTCACCGAGTGTAGAGAAAAGAGACTTTGTTTTCTGCTTTCCTGGAACCACATAAAGGAAACTTGACATTGTGAAGATACTCGGGTCTTATCTAGCCTGCTTTCTCTGCTTTAAGGGCTATGATTCACTGAGTCTTTAGGAGGGGTAGGTGAAGTGGGAGAATACGGACGGAAAACATCTTGAAATGTAGCATTCCAGTTTGGATGAGATTACTATGCAGGGAATCAGTTTAGGCATGCAACTGCTGCTCTCCAATCTCGTCTCTTTCTTTAAAAGTGGGTCTAGTAAATAGGGGGTGTGCTGCTTTATATTCGTGCTGTCTCTTTGTTACTGTTTGCCATCAAGTCAGCCTTGATTTATGCCAATACTATGAATGAGAGGTCTCCAAGACTTCTGATCTTGCAAATTCTGGGTAGCCATGGCATAGAATCATAGAATCATAGAATCAAAGAGTTGGAAGAGACCTCATGGGCCATCCAGTCCAACCCCCTGCCAAGAAGCAGGAATATTGCATTCAAATCACCCCTGACAAATGGCCATCCAGCCTCTGTTTAAAAGCTTCCAAAGAAGGAGCCTCCACCACACTCCGGGGCAGAGAGTTCCACTGCTGAACCACTCTCACAGTCAGGAAGTTCTTCCTCATGTTCAGATGGAATCTCCTCTCTTGTAGTTTGAAGCCATTGTTCCGCGTCCTAGTCTCCAAGGAAGCAGAAAACAAGCTTGCTCCCTCCTCCCTGTGCTTCCTCTCACATATTTATACATGGCTATCATATCTCCTCTCAGCCTTCTCTTCTTCAGGCTAAACATGCCAGCTCCTTAAGCCGCTCCTCATAGGGCTTGTTCTCCAGACCCTTGATCATTTTAGTCGCCCTCCTCTGGACACATTCCAGCTTGTCAATATCTCTCTTGAATTGTGGTGCCCAGAATTGGACACAATATTCCAGATGTGGTCTAACCAAAGTAGAATAGAGGGGTAGCATTACTTCCTTAGATCTAGACACTATGCTCCTATTGATGCAGGCCAAAATCCCATTGGCTTTTTTTGCCGCCACATCACATTGTTGGCTCATGTTTAACTTGTTGTCCACGAGGACTCCAAGATCTTTTTCACACGTACTGCTCTCGAGCCAGGCGTCCCCCATTCTGTATCTTTGCATTTCATTTTTCTGCCAAAGTGGAGTATCTTGCATTTGTCACTGTTGAACTTCATTTTGTTAGTTTTGGCCCATCTCTCTATTTTGGCCCATCTCTCTGTTTGTAGTCTCACACTTTCCCTACCACCTTCAACATTATCTATCATTATTATGTTTTATTTTCCCAATGAGTCATGTCACCACATGATACATCCAAAGTAAGATAGCCTCATTTTGGCTTCTAGTAAACTTCATTGCTCTCAGTTCCATTCATTTAGTCTTTTAGCAATTCATTGGATTTGTAAATCTCTTCTCCAGCACTAGAGTTGATTCTCTTCCAGCCAAGGTTTGGTGGGCATTGACCTTGAGTTTTGGAGTTGTAGTTCACCTACATTCAGACAGCACTGTGAAATCAAACAATGATGGATCTGGACCAAATTGGCACGGATACTCAATATGCCGAGATATGAACACAGATGGAGTTTGGGTAAAATAGACCTTGACATTTGGGAGTTGTAATTGCTGGGATTTATAGTTCACCTACAATCAAAGAGCATTCTGAACCTCACCAATGATAGAAGTGGGCCAAATGATGGATCTGGACCAAACTTGGCAAGAATACTCAATATGCCCAAATGTGACCACTGGTGAAGTTTGGGGAAAGTAGACATTGACATTTGGGAGTTGTAGTTGCTGGGATTTATAGTTCACCTACAGTCAAAGAGCATTCTGAATCCCAACAACGATAGAATTGGGCCAAACTTCCTACACAGAACCCTCATGACCAACAAAAATACTGTGTTTTCTGGTGGTCTTTGGTAACCCCTCTGACAACCCCTCATGACCCAACCCCCAGGTTGAGAAACGCTGCTCTAGTGCGACTCTGCTCAACATCCTCCAGTCACACTGGACAACCTAGGCCCCATTTACACCGGCATATAATCTAGTTTTTGTATGCAGATTATCTACTTTAAACTGGATTATATAAATGTGCACTTCCATATAGTCCAGTTTGTATTCGTGTTTTTTCAGTTTCATGGGAGCCCTGTGCTCCTAACCCCAGAGAATGTGGAGGGCTGACTGTTCCTTCTTCTTCCCCCCATTGATCCCTTGTTTCTTTCTTTCTGGCAGATGCTGACAGAGAAAGGCTTTGGTCCCATCACGACCGAGATCCGTGAGGCTCCGGAGTTCTACTACGCAGAAGACTATCACCAGCAATACCTGAGCAAGAACCCCAAAGGCTATTGTGGCCTTAGAGGCACCGGGGTCACCTGCCCCTGTTGATCTGGCCCACCCTTAACACGGCAAAGGAATGCTCCTTTGATTTGTTCCACGGTTTGCTTTTAATGATATATATAAAAATACCCGCCCTGAAATCAGTGGTACTGCTTTGCTGGTAGATGAGTTGAATTGGGAAGCCTAGTTGAGAATTTAGGGGAGCTTTCCAAGATGCTAGACCTGCTTGAGAGGTCTAGTTCAGCAGCTTTTGCGCTTCCTTTGAGGTTTTTGCTAAAGCCTGGTGTAGGTCACTGACCCATTGACATGCAAATCAGTTTGCACTGTGGCACTTCAGATAACAAAGTGGTGGAAACCATGTCTTTGAATGACTCCCCACTGCAGGTTGAAAATATTTGGAATTTTCTAGCCTAGTCTGGTGTATTAGCTTTCTATACAAACTAATTATCTATATACAAAGTTCCTCCCTCCCTCCTTTCCTTCATTCCTTTCTTCTTCCCCCTTCCTCTCTTCCTTCATTCCTTTGTCTTTTCCTCCCTCTGTTCCTTTCTTCTTTCCCTTTTCCTTCTTCCCTCCATCCCATCCTGCCACTTCACTTTCTCCCTCCTTCTATCCCTCCTTCCTTCCATTCCTTTCTTCTTTTCTTCTTCCCTCCCTTCATCCCACTCTTCCTTTCTCCATTCATTTCTTCCTCCCTTTGTCCCTTCATGCCACTCTACCTCTCTATGCAAAAATATTTGCAGAATTTCATCTGCCACAAAAGGGTGCAGGATTCCCTCCAACAGTCCATGATATTCAAATGGCCCCTAGAAAATCAACATGGAATTATATCATGTTAGAAAAAAAGTTTGGTGGGTTCCTCATTTTGTCGAAGGCTTTCATGGCTTGAATCACTTGGTTGCTATAAGTTTTCCGGCTGTTTGGCCATGTTCCAGAAGCATTCTCTCCTGACATTTCACCCACATCTATGGCAGGCATTCTCAGAATCATAGAATCATAGAATCAAAGAGTTGGAAGAGACCTCATTGGCCATTCAGTCCAACCCCATTCTGCCAGGAAGCAGGAATATTGCATTCAAATCTCACCTGACAGATGGCCATCCAGCCTCTGTTTAAAAGCTTCCAAAGAAGGAGCCTCCACCACACTCTGGGGCAGAGAGTTCCACTGCTGAACGGCTCTCACAGTCAGGAAGTTCTTCCTCATGTTCAGATGGAATCTCCTTTCTTGTACTTTGAAGCCATTGTTCCGTGTCCTAGTCTCCAGGGAAGCAGAAAGCAAGCTTGCTCCCTCTTCCTCCCTGTGGCTTCCTCTCACATATTTATACATGGCTATCATATCTCCTCTCAGCCTTCTCTTCTTCAGGCTAAACATGCCCAGCTCCTTAAGCCGCTCCTCATAGGGCTTGTTCTCCAGACCCTTGATGATGTTAGTCGCCCTCCTCTGGACACATTCCAGCTTGTCAATATCTCTCTTGAATTGTGGTGCCCAGAATTGGACACAATATTCCAGAAGTTGTGAGATCTGTTGGAAACTAGACAAGGGAGGTTTATATGTCTGTTGAAGGTCCAGTGTGTGAGAAAGAACTCTTGTCTGTTGGAGGCAAGTGTGAAAGTTGGCAATTAATTACTTTGATTAGTATTGCAAAGCCTCGCAGCTTCAAAACCTGGCTGCTTCCTGCCTGAGGGAATCCTTTGTTGGGAGGTGTTAGCTGGCCCTGACTGATTCGTGTCTGGAATTCCCCTGCTTTTTTAATGTTTTTTATTTACTGTCCTGATTTTAGAGGGGTTTTTTTTAAAATACTGGTAGCCAGATTTTGTTCATTTTCATTGTTTCCTTCTTTCTGTTGAAATTATCCACATGCTTGTGGATTTCTGTAGCTTCTTTGTGTTGTCTGACAAGGTAGTTGTTAGAGTGGTCCAGCATTTATGCTTTCCCAAATAATATGCTGTGTCCAGGTTTGTTCATCAGGTGCTCTGCTACGACTGACTTCTCTGGACCACTCTCACAACCACCATGTCAGGCTACACAGAGAAGCTATTGAAATCCACAAGTATGTGGACAATTTCAACAGAAAGGAGGAAACCATGAAAATGAACAAAATTTGGCTACCAGTATTTAAAAGACTCTAAAATCAGGACAGTAAACAAAGAATAACACTCTGAAACCAGGAGAATTCCAGATAGGAAACAATCAGGGCCAGCTAACACCTCCCAACAAAGGATTCCCCCAATCAGTAATCAGCCAGGCCCTGAAGCTGCAAGGCTTTGCAATATTAATCAAGGTAATTAATTGGAACAATCACTTGCCTCCAACAGACAAGAGTTCTTTCTCCCTCCCTGGACATTCCACAGATATATAAACTTCCCTTGTCTAGTTTCCAGCAGACCTCACAACCTCTGAGGATGCCTGCCATAGATGTGGGTGAAACGTCAGGAGAAAATGCTTCTGGAACATGGACATACAGTCTGGAAAACTCACAGCAACCCAGTGTTCCTTGTATGTTTACAGTGAAGGGACATTCAAATGTACATCCTCCCCACATCTGTATAGTAATACTTTCTGAACATGATTACCTGCTTTATGCTACGTGGCAGTGATGTAATAATAATAATAATAATAATAATAATAATAATAATAATAATGTATTGAAGCCCGCCCTATCTCCCCGAGGGGATGTTACTAGAGATGATCTGAATCTATCCAAAGGCACAATTAATTTGGAAGATTTATTGAAACTGCATATATAAACAGCGAACCGCATTTATGAGATGAAGGCAAGATATCCAAAACAAATGAAAGCAAAGAATCATTTGATTACCTCCTTTAATCAATTATGTATTTATTTATTTACTGCATTTTTACCCTGCTCTATCTCACCCCAAAGGATACTCAGAGCGGCCTCCAAATTGGAAATAATTCAATGCCATAGAAACATAACATAAGATAAAGGTAAAGCTTTCCCAAGGCATTAAGTCTAGTCGTGCCCGACTCTGGGGTGTGGTGCTCACCTCCATTTCTGAAGCTGAAGAGCCGGCGTTGAGCGTAGACTTCTCCAAGGTCATGTGGCCAGCATCGGAAATTGCAATTAGTCCAACGGGTGGCAGCTTGATTACTCACCGGAGCGTCATACAGGGAGCATACCACCCCCCTGCTGTGCCAGCTCCACTGGCTGCTGATCCAATTCCGAGCACAATTCAAAGTGCTGGTCTTGACCTATAAAACCCTATACGGCTCCAGTCCAGCGTACGTTTCCAAATGTATCTCCTTCTACGTCCCACCTCGAAGCTTAAGATCGTCTGGGGAGACCCTGCTCTCGGCCCCGCCTTTGTCTCAAACATGCTTGGCGGGGACAAGGGATAGGGCCTTCTCGGTGGTGGCCCCCTGCCTGTGGAATTTGCTCCGTGGGGAAATTAGGTCATTGTCATCCCTCCTCAGCGGAGTAATCATTAGTAGAGGGCTAGCTAAACACACACCAGACAGGCAATAGCTAATCAGAGTGTAAGTATACTGTTTTAATCTTTATTTATTAATGTTCATGTTTAATTGTTATATTTCTTATTCTGTATTTTATGATGCGGCATTGAGTTATTGCCAATTGTAAGCCGCCCTGAGTCCCCCCAGGGGTTGAGAAGGGCGGGGTAAAAATGTTCAAAATAAATAAATAAAAAATAAATGGAGTGCCATTACCTTCCCGCAGAAGCGGTACCTATTGATCTACTCACATTTCCATGTTTTCAAACTGCTAGGGTGGCAGAAGCTGGGACTAACAGAGGGAGCTCACCCCACTCCCTGGATCCAAACCTCCAACCTTTCAGTTAGCAAGTTCAACTGCTCAGCGGTTTAACCCGCAGTGCCACCATATATTAAAATCAATTAAAAATAATAAAAAGCATAGCATCAATACATTAAATACATTAAAACCATCTCCCTGTTCTACTCAGATGAAAAAGAAATGATCGCCATTATTTCTGAACCACAGGCATAGAGCTCATGTGGAAGGGCAAAAGAACTGGAGGTTCTGTTGAGCCAAATGCTCGTCAAAGTCGATAAGGAGACTGCAATTTGATGCAATACAATAAAGGGCTATACGTTGCAAATGGACAAGATGGTGTGTCGCACTGTTATCTCAGTTGTGTGAAGTCTATGTCGAGTTTGCTGCGGCGAATCAATCTCTTTGCCACCTTTCAGCCCCCTTCCATTTGCTCCAGATGGCAAAGACAGGTGGGTCAATCTGTGAGGTGGCCACACATTTCACAGTCGCAATGATAGGCTTTACGTTGGCGCTTTAGGTCCACGTTAAGTTCTCTTACGTGTACCGTTGTTACATCCCACCTTTCCCCGATGATGAGACTCAAGGTCAATCTATATATATAAAAATGCTCTGTGCATAATGAGTATCTTTAAAACAAAAGAACCAATGAACGAAATCACACCATCACTCAAAAAATTATGGCCATCACTCAAAAAATTATGATTTTGTCATTTGGGAGTTGTAGTTGCTGGGATTTATAGTTCACCTACAATCAAAGAGCATTCTGAACTCCACCAACGATGGAATCGAACCAAACTTGGCACACAGGACACCCATGACCAACAGAAAATACTGGAAGTGTTTGGTGAGCATTGACCTTGAGTTTGGGAGTTGTAGTTCACCTACATCCAGAGAGAATTGTGGACTCAAACAATGATGGATCTGGACCAAACTTGGCACGAATATTCCATATGCCCAAATATGAACACAGAGAGAGTTTGGGTAAAATAGACCTTGATATTTTGGAGTTGTAGACACTAGAATTCACAGTTCACAAACAATCAAAGAGCATTCTGAACCCCACGAATGAGAGAATTGGGGCAAACTTCCTACACAGAACCCCCATGACCAACAGAAATTACTTAAGGCCATCCAGTCCAACTCCCTTCACCAGGGCAAGAAAACGTAATCAAAGTCCTCCTGACAAAGAGCCATCCAGCCATAGACATAGATAGATATGATTCACACACAGAGAGATATAGTAATAGATTTGAAAGGGACCCCTAAAGAAGGACAATTATATCTTGCATGTTCCAGAGTAGGCAAACCAGACACTCTCCACATCAACACTGACAAAGAAAGAGCAAGAAATACTGTTTACCCACAAGC